TGGGTGTAGGGCTGACAACTGACTGGAAAAAAATGTTCTGTATATTTAACAGAGGTTTAATGGGCTGTTGTTTACCAGGTGATGTTATATACCCCCATGCCATGAAAAGATTCAGCTACTCATTTCGACACAAGCTTCTATCAAAGGGATGGAACATGTTATTATTTTTTGGTCAGGAGTGTTGGAAACCCTAATTGGAGATAAATTTGCAAATAACATTTTTCTAGAACTGATCTTACATCTCCTATTATGGCTTTAGGTCTTTATCAATTAGAGCCAGTTTGCTATCCTACATAAGACCTCATTATTTTGGACTGTTAGTGACATTTCACATCTTTGAGAAAGCCATATTTCTTTCATGAGATGTCTTCTGGTCTAAACAATAATGGGCAGGGGTTATTTCATAGAAAAAGAGCTAGGGGAACTCATTAGCATAACTCATTAGCATATGCCACACCCCCTGACATCACAGGAAGTGTGTCATAAGGCCACACCCCCTGACATCACCGGAAGTGTGTCATAAGGCCACACGCCCCGCCCCCAACGGTCCCGGCTGCCAGCGGCGGCCTTGCAGCTCCACTGCCAAGCCCCATGAGGGGCCTGGCGGTGGACCTGCAAGGCCGGCGGGAGTGCAAGGAAGCCCCGCGAAGGCCCTCCCTGGCCCCAGGCAGGCAGGGGGGGGGAGAGGCAGAGAGGAAGCAACTTACCCTCCCTCTTCTCCTGCCTTCTCCTGGCTGAATGAGGGCCGGAAGTGAGGTGGCCGGAAGCAGGGGGTGGGGCTTCGTTATGTGCCCAGCCCCCGTACCTCACCTGGGGGAACTGCGACCCCCCGCGATCCCCCCGAAATGACCTCTGATAATGGGCTAACTATATGGTTTAATATATTTTTCTAACCAAAATTGTAATGTCCTCTTACAGGAACAGGTCAGAGTTTGACACTTCTGTATACATATTATATTGGAAATAAGCAGGTGTTATTAGAGACTGTACATGAACTAATTAGATCTGGAGTGAAAGTAATGGAGAAGAAAGAGAACTTGGTGCTAAAATACTGTAAACAAAGACTCTGACAGATTTGTTCTGCAGATCAGGCATTATTTATCACCATAAATGCAGACAGGTAAAATGAGTGGCTACATAGGCCAGAGCCTTTTTGGTGGTAACCTCTGTGTTGTGGAATAGTCTATGAGAGGTGGCTGAGAAGGCCTCCACTATACACACTTTCTGGAAGCTATGTGTTAAGTACTGGGTTCTGGATGCATTGCAGTGAAACCGCTCTACTTTATTAGGTGATTTCAGGAACACTACAAGACAAACTCCAGGACAGACACATTATTCAGACACCCATTTTCTTAAAGTTTGGGCTTTGAATGCCTGTTGTAGTACTCAGGTCAGAATTAGGACAATGTTTTTAATGTCTGTGATCTGTTGAATTTGGGGGGGAGGACAAAAATGCAAGACATAAATGTTGATTTTAATCTTTTCAGTCATCAACTTACAAAGTTTATTCATCCTAAAGAAAACAAATTAAATGTTTTTCTTTAATCTGTACCTCATAGTTGATACAAAGAATAATATAAATAAGAAGGTAATATAGGGTGAAATGTAGGGTTGCCAAATGTTACCTACCTTGCCGGCGGGGGACTCCTGTGCAGCTCCCGGCGTGCGTGCGCGTCGCATGCACATCACAGAGAAGTGACGTCATGACGCCGGGCACACTAGAGTTTTCCCTTGTATGGCCGTGGCCCCGCCCCCAACGTGCCCGGCGTCATGACGTCACTTCCCTGTGACATGCACGCTGGGGCGGGGTTCCCCCCGGGGCCCGATTCCCCGGCGTCAGGGAACGGGCCTCTGGGGCGGGGGGATTTCCACCCCCCGGGGGATTTGGCAGCCCTAGTGAAATGACAACCTTTTGAAGAAGAGAAGAGATTGGATTTACACCCCGCCCTTCACTCAGAGTGGCTTACAAATCCCTTTCCCCTCCCCTCCCCACAAGAGACACCCAGTGAGGTAGGTGGAGCTGAGAGAGCTCTTTCTAGAACTGTCCTTGAGAGAACAGCTCTGACAGAACTATGACTTGCCCAGGGTCATCCAGCAGCTATAAGTGGAGGAGTGGGAAATCAAACCCAGTTCTCCCAGATAAGAGTCCATGCACTTAACCACTACACCAAACTGGCTTTCTCTTTGCCCTCACGACCCAGCAGTTTAAAACAGGAGGGAAGGGGCTTTTCTTCAAGGCCCCAGTCTTGGCCCTGCCTGCAAGGTGGACAGAATTGCTGACTGCACTCTCTTGAGCACCACAATTTCATAGGATCCTTTGGTATTTTTTCCTTTTCTTTTCCTTTATTTTCTCTCTCTTCCTCTCCCCCCCTTTCTGGGGTGGCAGCTAGGGAGCATTTCCCCTGGGAGATCTCTGCCTTAGGGGGTAGGAAGGCCCTCTCCCTGCTCCTAGGCCTCTTAAAAAGTTGGGGAAAGGGCGCTGAAAGGGGTGTGGGAGTAGCACCACAGGAAGAACTCCCCCAACCTCCAGCAAGAACATCTCCTTAGCTGTGTGGTCTTCATCCTCCAGGCCATGAGCTTCCCCAGTCACTCCTGCATTCAGCGGAGCATCGGCTGCTATGGGAACACTACAGACCTTCCTGTGGTCTCCAGGAGCCTGCTGGGCCAGCTGAGTCATTCAAGCTGCAACCTTTGCTGTTTGCCCAATCTTCCAACCACTCTCCTTGATCCCAGTAAGGAGAAGGAGCCCTTGCTCTAAAAGGCCCAGAGTGGGTTTTTTATTGGTCTCCCTCCCAAAAAGGCAGGAAATGGCAGTGCGGGTGGGCCTCTCTGAGTCTGTGCCTCAGGAAGGATTGGCCTCCAACCTTGAGCTTCCCTCCTCACACTCCCACACTTCTGCTACGGGTTCCCATGACAATGTTCCCTCTAAGATGTATAGTGTTGTGAGCAGGGGTCGTTTCGTAGAAAAAGAGCTAGGGGAACTCATTAGCATAACTCATTAGCATATGCCACACCTTCTGGCACGCCCCCACCAATTATGGGGTTGCCAACCTCCAGGCGGGGACTGGAGAGAAGGAAGAGCAGGAGAGCCGGCAGGGATTCGGCAACAAAGAGGCCTCTCCTCTGCTCCCAGCCCACTCCCCACCTTCCTCCAGTTTCTGATTGTCCCGATGGCAAGGCATCCCTGAAGACGCCGATGCCAGTCAAGACCGCCCTGCTGCTGCTTCCGGGCACGCGAGCCCCGGCCCCCAGCTCACCCAGAGGAAAACCGCCTGGAGGGGCCGCAAGGAGCCATTGAGGCGCCACCAGCCGACCGCAGCTCGGCTAACGCGCGAGGAAACCAGCAACGGGGAGTTTGAAGAGGCGAGAGGAGGGAAGCCGTTCTGGGCCCAGGGCCCGGCACGAGAGAGCGCCCTCAAGTTTGAGCAGCCTGGAGGGGAGGGGAGAGGAAGGAGAGAGCGAGGTCAGCCCCGTCCAGTTGAGGCTGCAGGCAGCGGCAAATCTTTGCAGAGTTCTGCTCAGATCTGCGAAGACTCTTGGTGAGTGCGCAGCGAACGCCGCTACTGCTGCCGGTCTCCGGCTTGCATTGGACATCTGGGCACCCATGTCACGTGCAAAGCGATCTGTAGCCGCCAAGGAGCACTGCTGGGGCGGAGGAACGGTCTTCTTCTGCTCGAGCTTTCTCACCCTAGCCTTTTACGCTGAATGCGAGTGCCTCCCCCCCCCAGTGTTCCCGATCACTGAAACGAGTCTTCTTCCACCTGCTAAGGGCCCTGGGCGAGGAGGGGGTTCCAGCTGCTGCAAGCCAGCAAGTGCCCACGGCCCGGCGGGCAGGGAAAGATCATGTGCCCGGGGGTGGCAGCGGCGGCAGAACTGGGCTGGTGTTCCTTGGCAGGGCAGCCCAGAGGAGCTGCCTAAACATCGCTGGCCGCAAAGTTTACCTTCCCGGTGGCACTTCCCATCAGGAGAGGTGGCGGGTGGCGCGTTTACCACTGGGGGGAGGGTCGGGGGAGTCCTCCTCCTCACGAGGGGCTCCTTGCCTGAAGAAGGCGGGATCCAATGGGCAACCCACGTCTGTCCCCCTCCCAAAGGGCCGCAGCTGCTGCCGGGCCCCGCAGCGCCCCTCCCCCGCCTGACGGAGGCTTTACGCACAGGGAGCTGCGACTGCTGCTGCCGCCCGCTGGCCTCGCTCCAGCCATAAACGCCATCGAAGAGCGAGGGGGGGAGCGTTGCCTGCAAAAACAGCTACGGGGGCAGGGCTTCATCGCACCTCACCGGGGGAACGGCGATCCCCCGTGTTCCCCCCCAAAAGGACCACTGGTTGTGAGCAAAAATTCTACATCATGAGCTACTAGCATTAAAGTTGCAAGTGAGCCTCATTTCCCACCTCGTTGGCCACCAAAGTTCAGTGACCCTGCCTGCCTCCAGGGAGGAGCTTCTTCCCAGACATAGAGACTGCCCCCCCAGGACCACCAAGAAAGAAGAGATTGGCTTTATACCCCGCCCTTCACTTGGAGTCTCGGAGCGGCTTACAAACTCCTTTCCCTTCCCCTCCCCACAACAGACACCCTGCGAGGTGGGGGGGGCTGAAAGAACTCTGACACAAACTGCTCTTTCAGGAACAGCTGTGCCAGAGCTTGTGACTGACCCAAGGTCACATCAGCAGGTGCAAGTGGAGGAGTGGGGAATCAAACCTGGTTCTCCCAGATTAGAGTCCACACACTTAACCACTACACCAAACTGGCTCTCACGGTAGATTCACGGTAAGTGAGATAGATCTTCTGTTTCCTTTCAGGTAAGAATGTGGAGGCACATGGCATAGCCCTAAACTAACATCTAATGTTCCATACAACACTGCATCAATAGTACCAAACAAATCAGTTTTATTTATTGTGATCTGAATGCCTGTGTCTAAACATTAACTTTCTAGAGTATTCAGAACATGAAATTCTGAAGCAACCCATGGAGACCCAATCAAAGTTTTGTAATCATTAACCCACCTGCCACATGGTCTTTGGGGGGAAACATTTTGTTGTCAACAGCCAAGCTTATGTCATGGAATACTTCTTCCTCATCTCTGTCAGCATCAAACTGCAATAAAATAAAAGGCAGTCAAATATGCTAAAGCAAAATTCATGTGAATGTTATTGTGTAATACAAGAGCAAGTATGATGGCAAAGGGACAGACACACTTTACCAGGGACTTGGGGAGATGAAGTCCCTTTACCATGACATGGTGCATTTTGTATCATTTCAGAAACAAAATTGGGAGGGGGAGAGGATAGAAACTTAGACCAGGCCCAAGGAAATTATGGTGGGGCTCTGCAGACTTTATCTGAAGCCCAGTAAAAGAATGTGTTGGGTCCCACAGGAAATCTCCAGTGGGGAATGGTGCTTATATGATTCTCTCCTTCCATGGCAGATCTTCATCTCCCCTTTCATGCCCCTTCTGGAGGTCCTCTGTCCTAAGGAGCAGCATTTCTAGGGGCATTTTGGGCTGCTGCAGCAGAGTGGTGAGGTAAAGACATTTCGGCCTGCTAATAGAAATTCCTTCTGTCAGTGGAGAGTATTCACAGAATCCAACACTATATTTCTGTAAAATGCATTTACGTAAAAGTGACTGGAAATGCAAGTCTTTTAGCATTAGCTTCATGTATTTTGTACATACTTTTCTGTCGCACTACAGTGAAATAGTACTGTGCTTACGTCAGAGAAAGCTATTGGGAAATAAGAGATAGTAAAAAGACATGCAGTGTACCATGGTTATGGAGAGATATGTGAGAACAGTAAATGACAGTATTCTATTCAGTTTGGAGCTTACTGCAGTTATCCTTCTACTGCTAAAATCTGTACTGCCTGTTCTTTCTCACATTGCTAGACTGAACAAACCTTCTCTGTATACCCTCCACCTTCTTCTCTTCAAGCTGTCCAGTCTTTAATGAAATGAACATCAGCCCAGCGCTTCCCCTGTTTTGTTTTATTACTTTTGTGTGTGCAGTTGCACTAAAATTACAACAACCCTTCAATATGCACAATATTATTTTTCCAAATATACATAGAATCATAGAGTTTGAAGGGATCTTCAGGGTCATCTAGTCCAACCCCCTGCATAATGCAGGAAATTCACAAATACCTGCGCCTCCATACCCCCAGTCAGGGGTCGTTTCATAGAAAAAGAGCTAGGGGAACTCATTAGCATAACTCATTAGCATATGCCACACACCCTGACATCACCGGAAGTGTGTCATAAGGCCACACCCCCTGACATCACCGGAAGTGTGTCATAAGGCCACACCCCCTGACATCACCGGAAGTGTGTCATAAGGCCACACACCCTGCCCCCAATGGTCCCGGCCGCCGCCGGCCTTGCAGCTCCACTGCCGAGCCCCATGAGGGGCCCTGTGGTGGACCTGCAAGGCCAGCGGGAGTGCAAGGAAGCCCCGCCAAGGCCCTCCCTGGCCCCAGGCAGGCAGGGGTGGGGAGAGGCAGGGAGGAAGCAACTTACCCTCCCTCTTCTCCTGCCTCCTCCTGGCTGAATGAGGGCCGAAAGCAGGGCAGCCGGAAGCAGGGGCGGGGCTTCGTCATGTGCCCCGCCCCCCGTACCTCACCCGGGGGAAAATAGTAAACCACCTCTGCTCATCTCTTGCATCCACCTGGATGGCCCAGGCTAGCCCAGTCTCGTCAGATCTCAGAACCTAAGCAGGGTCATCTCTGGTCAGTATTTGGATGAAAGACCACCAAGGAAGCCCAGGGTTGCCACGCAGAGGCAGGCAAATGGCAAACCACCTCTGTTTGTCTCTTTCCTTGACCTGCATGACCCATCCCATCCTGATCTCATCAGACCTCGGAAGCTAAGCAGAGTCGGCCCCTGGTTAGTGTTCAGATGGGAGGCCACCAAGGAAGCCCAGGGTTGCTACGCAGAGGCAGGCAATGGCAGACCACCTCTTTTGTCTTTTGTCCTGACCTGGATGGCCCAGGCTGGCCTGTTCTCATCAGATTTTGGAAGCTAAGCAGGGTTGGCCCTGGTCAGTAATTGGATAGGAGATTACCAATGAAGTCCAGGGTCGATATGCAGAGGCAGGCAATGGCAAACCCACCTCTGTTCATCTCTTGCCTTGAAAACCCTACAGGATTGCCATGTTGGCTGCAATTTGCAACCTAGACACTATACTTCTGTTGATACGGCCCAAAATCACACTTGCCTTTTGCTCAAATGTAATTTCCCCACATTGTTTTTTATACTTTTAACCTGCCCTTTGTCCTGACCTGGATAGCCTGTATAGCCCAATCTCATCAGATCTTGGAAGCTAAGCAGGGTTAGCCCTGGTTGGTATTTGGATGGGAGACCAAGGAATTCTGGGGGTGCTATGCAGAGGCAGGCAATGACAAACCACCTCTGAGCATCTCTTTCCTTGAAAACTCCTCTGGGGTTGCTATAAATTGGCTATGACTTGACGCTACTTTCTACCACTATTAACCTGCCTTACCTCCAAGAACCTTATGGTGGCATACATTATCTCTTCTTTGAATATCTTGGTGAGGCAGGCTAGGCTGAGGGACCATGGTCAACTGGGAGATAGCTGGGAGATAGCTGAGTGGATATTTGAACCCAAGTCTTCCTAATCAAAATCCAACAGACTATCCACTACATGACACTGGCTATCACCAGTGGGCCTTTATGGTGTTACAGTAAAATTCATGAAATACAGTTAAATATGAAATAACAATTCATGAAACAGTTTTACCATTTGAGTGATTGATGCATACAAAATAGAGACCATTTATAAAGTATGTGACACTTCACCCATTTTAACCAATACTAAACTTATCCTTTATAACAACTTTACACCCCCCTGTTGCTTATAGGTGACATATTTTATGGGTGATCCCCCTTACCCATTTATTGTTGTTATTAAAACAAACTGACATGCGTATTCCTGCAAAAATTTAGTTACTTACTTTATAGCCCCCCTTTCTCATTGTGACTCAAGGTGGGTTATAGACTAAAAGGAATGTATGTGACAGGAAAGGTTGCGGAGAGTAAATATTATAAACAAAATGAAATTGTAATAAAGTCAAAATGAAGCATTACCTAGAAGACTATCTAGAAGAGCTGACCATCTTCAGCTCTGCCTCAAAAAGCAGGCCTGTCAAAACTAGTATTTTAAATCGTGTTATGGATGGAAGATTTGCTATGGTAACAATAATTGAGCAGATCAGGGTTTTTTTTTTTATTCTGTTTGTGCCAGGCAGTGAAAACTAAATTCCTGCATGGCTATCCTATGCACTCTTATTTGGGAATAAATTTCATCGGACAATGGAGATTTAATTCTGAGTGAACACACATAGGGTCAGACTGTTGATTTTGTATACCACCATCTATAATGAACTGGTTACTTAAGGTGTAGAATGCTTTTGTGATCAAATTTGTGAACTTTGTATATGCTAGAGAAAGAATACAAATTGACAAAACTGACAATTTGTCTTTGAGAAGCTCAGTTTTATTTGTGATATTCCAAGTGTTCAACTACATACCTTGCTAAAACCATCAGTCAAAACTGTATGGCCATAATCATGTGACTTTCATCATGTGTGTATAATTTACTGTTCATAGAAATGCTGTTGTCTGTATAATTCCCATGAATCTTTATTGCTTTAAGAAGTCACCCTGAGAGTGAAAGGTTTACACAGAACAGGGTTCCCTATGTATGCTGTGCTGGATTGTGCTGTTACAAATCATGCTACGATTATTTTAGCCATGTTCATGCAGCCCTCCAATGTAGGCTGTACGCATTTATGAACCTGAATGTATTACATGCAATCCTGTGTGCCATGTACACCTTGTTAATTTCATCCATTCACCTTACCCGCCATTTTTGAGGCAGACAAATTACACCTATACATGTAAGCCCATGCCACAAGTGATATGCTATATGCATTGGACTAGCATAGATGAGACCCAAATTTGTTCCCATACCCCATACTACACAAGACCTACAAACTAGGCAAATGGATTAATCAGCTATTTTCGGAGCTTTTATTGCACCTTTTGGTTGTCACATTTAAAACCATCTAAGAATAATTTTCTCCAGTAATTATCAATGGCAAGCTAGGCAGATGTTGTACACAGTGGTACTGACATGTATCTTATTTCTCTTACTTCTGCAAGAGTTCCATCAGAATTTCCTTATATGCTCAGTCAGCTCTGCTTGTAAAATTCCATTAAGGTAGAAAGGTGCACAAAATGTTATGACTGGTATTTTATAATGCAAGAGGAAATAAGGTGGTAACCATTTCTCATGCTCAGATTTGCGACTAAAATGAATTTAAATTCCTACGCCATTTTTATTCCTTACTAGTTTGAAAAGCAGCATTCTTTAAATATTTCCAAATGCAATACCTAAATCACAAGGGTGAAAATTGTACAGGCTATTTCACGGTAACCATTTGGAAAATTTGCTTTTTACTCATAATGGTTTTCTTCCTTGGAAATATTTACTTGAGTGCAACTGAAGTACTACACTCTTCAGATGAATACTTCTAAAAATTCAAATGCTTTAAGTAATACATGACATGTCCAGGGCTCCCCCCCCCCCCTGTATTATGATATCAGTACAGAAGAGGAATGAATGTCTTCTGTTTGATGATATTGGCTGGATTTTTCATATATTTCTAATGCTACAGTTCCATTACAGGCATTCTCAGACCCATGACTCATGGACAAAGATGGAAATATCACCAATAAACCCTAGTTATGCCTTCTCTGTTTATGTACAAACTAGGAATAAGGCCCGTTGTGGAAATAAATACAATGAGCTCCAGAAAGAGGCTCTGGGAGAGTGCCAAGGCCTTGTCAATGTGCTGTGGCAACCTCAGCAGGGTATAATGACACAGAGTCCACCATTTTCTCCAGAGGAACTGATCTCTGCTACCTGAAGAGCAGTTGTAATTTTCAGTGATCTCCAGCCCTCACCTGGAGATTGGCAAGAATTGGTACTCAGGAATAAATGGCTGGTTTGGGCGTGGAGTCTATGGCATTGTACCTGACTGAGGTCCCACCCCTCCTCAAACCTCACCCTCTCCAGGCTCCA